TTTTTTGAAAAAGTATCAGGAGAACATGAGAATCAAAGAGCTATTCACTGCAACTGAAAAATTCGAAATTTTCGAAAAAGTATCAGGAGAACACGACTTGATGGACACCCCAGCATTGCGTGTGGCGCCCTCCCTCTCTTGGGGTGCAGTACTGCGATGCCGCTGGAGTCATTCAAACCCCCAGAACTGAGCCTGTACTTTAGTCAATCCTCTTTGGGTAATAGCTTCCTCATATCGTAATTCCCTGTAATTAATCTTATTATAATGTAATTAGAGGAGTTGTTAGACGAGTTCAATGATGGAATGCGAAATGAATTTTTTGTATCAGCAATACAGACATTTTCCATCGCCAAGGGAGAAGCAGGAAAATTTTATGACAGGTAAATTAAATCAAAAAATACATGTTTTCATTTCTCTCCACCCCTCACATTTTTTTTCTCATCAATAAAATTTATTTAAGAATTCTAAATAAATTAAAATACATGGCAACTGGGTACACAAATCGTCGATTGAGCTATATTTTTGTTCAAAAACAAAAATTGTCCCTTGCAATAATAAAAAAAAAAGGAGAAAAAAATCTCCTCGACGGAGGAAAAAATGAAAGGAATCTCATAATTCTCATAACTAATAATTAATTAATTGGTAATAAAAATTAATAATAATTGAATCGATAATTGATAATGAACGTTGACAATATGGATATCATCGTGAATTAATATTTGTTTTCATTAATTATCCTCCCTCAGGCATGCGCTCACTGATTTCAGTTTCTTATACTCATGTTTTCATCGTTTTTCGTTTTATTTACAAATTATGCGAGAGATATGTTTTAAACGTAATTACTTCGATGGTAAATTTTAATAATTAAAATTTTCTTGCAATTTTCATTTTTTATTATCTCATTGCATTTGCCTATCAGAGCCCATTCAACATCAGAGATCAGCATTTCACGGTTTATTTTTCAATTTTTCTCATGATAATAAATTTTAAGGAAAAATCAAATGTCTTTTTATTTTTCATTGATAATTCATTGTTTACGCATTTTTTTTATCGTCGATTATGTGGCTCGTGGGTTCATTCAACTGTCTAAGTACTTTTCTATTAACAGATAAATTCCGACTTCTTCAGTGAGAAAAAAAAAGTCAATTACTCATTCAAGTTGTCATTGAATGATTTAGTCCCCACTTTTTTACACTATGAATGATAATTATCCAGAGATTCTCGTGATTTCGCAATTGTTTCGTTGGGCACTAATTATGTACAAATTATACGAATCACTGCGAATTCATTACCGAGAGTCGTTCATTTAGATTTTCTCATTGAATAATAATTTTTTTCTGCTGAGGATATTGCAAAGAAATTCAATAAAAAAAAGGTGTAATCATCCGTGGGTGGTGCAATAATTTTCGTTCAGATTTTTTTACTGATAATTGGCAAAAAAATCGGAACAAGTGTACTCTACCCATTGAGTACAGAGAAAGAGAGAGAAAAAAAAAGAAAATATTAAGAGTCTGTTGAAATGAAAACTCACAAACCTCATCGACGAATAATCAACAATCTTGAAACGACAGTGATGCCTCTGGGCGCCTCATTAAGTTGTCCTTAACTGATATTTATATACAACCGTCATCACCTCGACAAATCACTCATTAATTCTCCTCTCACTCACTCTCATTACCTATAATTCACATATTTCCCCTCGTGTATTTACGTTTTGCTTTCACTTTTTAATCATTCACATTCTAACTACCACGCATCTACAATTGTAAACTCAACGAATCGTAGTGTATACAAGTAATACAAGTCCAAGGATTATTGTTTTTTACTAATGAAATACAAGATGAAGGGGAAGTATGAATTTTGCGATTGATTGAGGCGAGGATTTCACGTCCGTCTCTCATTAATTTCACCAAATCACTTTGGATAAACCAATGAAAATAATTACCACCATCATTACTTCACTGGACAAAATCGACAATCATGTGGAAAAATAATTGCCACGATTTTAATTTCAACTCGTAAAAAAAATACTAATATCTCCACTGGGCACTTGTCCACCCCCAGTAATAATAAATTAAAAAAAAAAAAAAACAACAACATGAGTCCCTCGTCTGAATAAATCACAAAATTTCATCGTTTTCTACTTATCCTGGGAGTTTCCGTGGTAATAAAATCGTCATCACTATTTTATCATCGAAAGAGGAACCATATTTCAATTATTTCATCATTTTTCATTCTTCGCTATTTATAAAAATAATTTTAAGCCGCCGTATTTTATATTAGCAATATTATCGTTTATCATTAAATCGTTTTGTTTATTTATTATTATTTTTTTTTTCTCCTAAAAAGACCACGACTATAATTAAACTTGTGTGTGTGTTGTTCAATTAATCATCATATTCCCCTCGTTTTAATCAGTTAAAAACTACTCATTGTTCCTTATTTACTTTAAAACTTAAAAAAACATTTGTTTGCACATACACTTTTTCATTAAATGGGTCTTTCATCTAATCACTTTAATTCAATCTCTTCGCTTTAATCTTTGTTATCAACTTCCTCAATTTTCATTCATTTAATTTATTTATATTTATATATATATATATCGTTTGTATATATGGATTTTATCATGTGGGCATCATCGGGGGGTTTCAATCGTCATTTTTATCGACACGCAAATCTACAGTTCCAATGTAGCAGGTGTCTAAATTTTCCTTTCGCGCAATTAAAACTGAATTTTTGCAGTGAAAAACCAAATTTTATCTGATAAAAATCCCAAAAACTTTGAAAAATCCATTCTTAATCTATTGTCACTGATGAAATATTCAAATCAATATCCCAAATGGTTCTTCATCTCCAAAAATTCAATTCAATCCTCAAAATGCGCTGTGATATGTCAAAAACCAAAAATAAAGATATATCGAAAATCGAAAAATTCCGTTTATTCATCTCTAACCATTAATCATTTAAAATTCCCCATCGATAATACTTATTTATTGTCGCTCAAAATAAACGGTAATTTTTCCAGAGACCCAACCGCACTCACGTGGAAAAAAATTTGATTAACTTTGTCGATTCCCCACAATTGATTTTTGTTTAAAATTGATAAACTGATATCAAAAAGAAAAATAAACGAAAAATAGGACTCGCGCACGGTTGTCACCCAGGCCTTTCAAACAGTATATACCGTCGAGATATATACTTCAGAGTCTCATATACCTTATGCATATATGATATAATTTTTCATATTAATTTCTCATCTCATGCCTTAGGTTTTCCCATTATTTTATGAGAAATTTCAGTTCGTTTTACGACTTTACAGGGTACCTGGACCTGACTGCACACGAGTTTTAACACAGAACAACGCCGGAGGTGAACCTCTGCTACTGGGGCTGGGCAGGATTGTGCTGAAGGGACGGTGGTGGCCCCTGAAATATCATCTACATTAATCATCAGAACCTTTTCCGTAGATTGAACTGAGTTACAAAACAAAGTTCCTACAAAAATTTTGCTATCTCCCTTAGATTCCGAGATATTTTAAAACACAGCAATTAGCCGAAATCCATGTTCCCATGTACCTATTCGCTACTGAATTGCATTTCAATCCATTAATTTTAATGTTTGCCTCTACCAGAGTATTTTTTTTACTCTTTGCATTCATCCAACTGAAATATAGCTCAATTGACGGTTTGTGTACCCAGTTGTCATGTGTTTCAATTGATTTAAGAGTCTTGAATGAATTCAGTAGTGAAGTGGTAACGAGATGAGTAGTTTTAATTTCGTTGAATGATTTAACAACTACGAAAAGTCCTTTAACTTTTTCATTTTAAATTGGAAATTCGATTTTTTCAGTCCATCTGTTTTTATTGAAAAAAAATGTTGAATCCATATGGAGAAGTGAAGAATTGGTACTTACGGGCATGGCAGGGAAGGGAGGTTGCGCGTGTGCGTGTGGATGAGAATGTGGATGAGTTATGTGTGCAGCAAGATGTCCTGGCAGTTTAGGACCATCCTCAGCCTTTTCCTCTTCTCGTCTCTTAAGACACGCTGCCTTAGGATTTAAATTTCTCTCTGAAAAAAAAAAAAAAATCCCATATTAATTCCACTGAAAAAAGGCCAGAAAACTTTGTTGCAGCTGATTAAATTTTCCAGGCAGAATGACTTTTGAAATTTTCTCCAAAAATGCATAAATTCCGAGATAATTCAATGTTTATCAAGACTGTAAAACTCCATTAATCGTGTTTTATCTTTACAATTATTGATTTATCTTGAGAAACAATCAATTCCACTTGCAAATCACAGAGATCTGTTTAACAGCTGATTAAATTTGCCAGAAAAAAATTTATCTTCGAATTTTCACAAAAGTCCATAAATTCCGAGATGATTGGATATTTAACGAGACAGCAAAAGTCAATTAATAGTATTTTATCAGTCTGCTACTGTTTTATCAATGATAGAAGTACAAAATCATCAAGTTTACCTCTAACTTGTTGCTCCAGGGTCATAATAACCTCCACGGCCATATTGAGAATCCCCAGCTTGGTTTGTGGCTTGTCTGTCTTGAGGTGAGTCATGCACATTCTCCCCAACTCCTTCAGTGCTTCATTAATATCCCTTATACGTATCCTAGGTAATTAAAAAAAAAATAAAACCAAGGGAATGATTAAAGATTGACATGATAGATTGACGTGAGTTATCAATTGTTCTCTTTGATCTGTAGTTCAATTGCTCTATTGTAAAAATTATCGAAACGATTAACGATTTAATTCACAGAATACGGGCCATGAAAAACAAATTTTTTTTGCGACTTCTCTCGCATTTTTCTTTGCTAATTCCTTTTCTTACCTCTCCCTGGCATTGTTTGCCTGCCGCCTCTCTTTTTCACGCTGTGCCTTCACATCAGGATCATCATCCTCGTCTTCGGCGCTCGAACAACAGTTGCGCAATAACAATACTCGATTAATCACCTGATTAATGATTATCGTTCACTTAGAAACTAAATTCATTACATCTTTAATTTTTTCGACTCGTTAAATATCTCAAAGGTTCGGGGACCATTTACTAATGAACACACGCAGGTTCAAATCAATCAAGGCCTTTTCAATCACTCTTTAAGGCCCGTATTCTCCGAATAATCGATACAATCCCATCGATTTATGTCAATAATTTAATCAACATTAAACTCACAGATTAATCATCATCGATTGTTCAGTTGTTTGTCACTATTCAGATGATATTCAATCGGTTATCATTGAATAATAGATTATTATCCCACGATATACCAAACTAAATCGAATAATCATATCCTGAAAAAACAACAAACCTCCAAAATTATCAATAACAATTTATCTGCCATACAAAAAATACCTGTAAACATAAATAGTGCTCGGTGAACTACAGATGATAAATTCAATCAAATTATTGATAAGAACAATTCAATAATGAGAGAAACTTGGATGTAATCTAGAGCATGCCCAAATGTGAAGAAATAAATACGAATGAATATTGAAAATGTGTGAATTGATCAATTGTTTTTAATTGCAGGATCCCTCGACTATTTTGACCCCACGACTTTCCAATTGATTAAATGAAAATTGGTGATTAGTTTTCACTATCATCTGGGATATTTTTTTTCACTCCATTCTTTTTATATATATTTTTTTCATAGTGCTTTAAACTTGCGTGTGTTCACTAACCTTTCGCGAACGTTGTTGGCTTGTCTGCGTTCTTTTTCACGCACCGCTTTGGTGCCAGGATCGTCGCAGTCTTCATCGGCGCTCGAACAACGGTTGTTCAAAGACAAAGCAAGTTAGATTTCATCTCCAATATATTTCTTACATTTTTAAATATTCAATTTTTCCATAAAAAAAAAATTCAAGACTGTTTTTCAGTAAGAAAATTGCCCCAAATCATCGAGAATTTCCATTTGTTTCATTTTAATTTCTGATTTGTGACGAAAAAATTGAAGAAATAATTATGCATTCTGTTTTTTTTATATTTCATGGATCTCATTAATGAGAAAATATCGTATTTCATTGAATTGTTTACACTTACTATCTGCGCGAACGTTTAGTTCCTTTTCCCTGTGACGTTGAGTTGACAGCTGATCCTGATATGACACCAGCTGCTAAATCACTGCTCGATGCCTTGGTCTCACCTCCACTACTGTCTGGTGGATCTTTCCTCTTTTCTAAAGAGATGTATTCTGCTAATTATTGATAATGTTTCTTTAGGTGTTCATTGGTTATTAATTATCAACGAGTCATCGTCTCATGTTATTTTTCAATCAAATTCATTTTTTCTCTCATCGATTGAATTTTTTTTTCATTCATCCTCATTACCATTTACGGTTCTGTGGCATTCGTGTTTTAGCACTCTTTGTGGAACTAATGGCATATAAGTGAAAACAATCGAGTGTACGTGCCAAGTTGACTTGATTTATCTGAATGGTTTAGCCTCTTGAAGTCGTGGGACTCGAGGAAAAAATCACCACTGGATTGTACGAGTCATTTAAGGAGATATAACTGAATCAGTATTTCCTGACTCTTTAATTGATATCGGCTACGAGATTTTTATTATTTATGGACAGCCAGTGAGTTTTAAGCCAAATAGAAAATCTCATTCGAAGGACTGATCGGTTGAAACTTCCGGGATTTAATTTCTACTGATTACGAATCGTTATTATGGATTCTGCAGAATTTACATTTTTGTCAATACAAAAATCACAACTCGGAAGGGAGTGAGTTCAGGAGAAAATTTGATATGACATTTTCTGTTAAGAATTTCAGGGGCTAAAAAAAATGTTTTGACACAGTTTTTCGTGGAACACCTCATTTTCGAGATAAATCCACATTACCATGAACTTCTTCCATTGGATTTGGAAAAAATGTGTTTTATATTCATTAAAAAAATGAATGTAAAAATGTTTGTGAGTGGTGCCCACAGGGAATACACTGTCAGTGGCATAATAAAGGCCATTGGAATTCTTATACTGGTTTTGTCTCCGTGATTTATCTAATATTTCCTTATTGGGAAAAACCAACGTTGGTGAACACCTGGGTAACTGAGTCCTCTTTACTATTTACTTTTCATCCTCTTTTTCGGAGCATGGGAAAAATATATTGTTCCATGTGATGACCCAATACCATCAGAAAATGACTCGTATCGATAAAAAAAATATTGTAAAAATATTCTCAATTGTTTTTTCATTGTTTTACTTACTGGCATTCGCTACTGATAGCCTCTCAATCTTGATTGATCCGTCTGTGTCGGGGGTCGGGGTTAAAACTGGATACGATCCTTGGGGTTGAGCCACTGTCACCGCAGGATGTGGACTCGTCTATTTAAAAAAAATAAAAAAATAAAAAAACATTAATTTCTTTTCAAAAACCACAAAATGAAATATCCGTACTTTGATTCTCTGAGAATATCTCGGAAACAATAGAGTTCCCGAGAGAATATGATAAGAACTTTTTCTGGGAAATTTAATTCTCCACAGAAAAGATTCGATTCATTTTTCTCGTGGGATTCCTCGTTGTCGAGATAATTGAGAACGCGCAATTAGGAAAGAAAATCAAAGAAATGTTTCCATGAAACATCAACTCGAAATGCTCTTCGATTAAAAAAAAATAAACTTACAAGGTGGTCCATTTGACTGGGTGACGTGTGGGAATAGAGTGCACCATGAGGGCCCACGGGACCAAGATGAAGATTAACTTGACTCTCTGCATGATTCCTCAATACATTTATGGCATCGTCCAGTCTTTCCTCCATTCGAGATCCCTGTACCAACAGAATATCCGACGATTCGTCTCGATTACGCTGAGCCAATTAACGATAGAAAATGTGTTACTGTTGTATTCAATCATCAATCATCAAATTTGATGAGAAAGTTCGTAAATAAAAAAAAAAATGATAAAGAGAGGAAAATGTGAATAAACCCCTTGTGCAATGAAAAACATCTGTACATATTTGAGTTATTATTCATTAGTCATTGTGACCCAGTGGCAATGTACACCGTGATGATGAGATGAATAATTGATTAATAATAAACCAGTAGTTGAGTTCAGAAATGAATGAGGAAAGGAGAAGAAATAGGAGTGAAGTAAATTCACAGCGTTTTAAAAAAATGATAAAATGATAATCGGCAATCCTCACCTCGGCGTGATCACGAAGGAAGCCGATGGCATCGTCTAGCCTCTGCTGTTCAGGCGCCGGCTTCACACAAAACACCAACGCAACAACAAAACCAAAAAAAAAAAAACAAAATGGTAACACCAAATCAACAGCAGCGTACACAAAAAAAAACAAACCAAGAGTGGGATTGTTGTGATCTGAGTGGATTAAACTGAAAGGGGATCGATTAAAATATCGAATTGAAATCGAATTCCTCAGACGTGCAACGATTTTGTTTACTATCTCGTGATTTTCTTTGGAAATACCTTGACCGCTCATTTAAGCTGGTGAATAATTTGTTAGTGATTTAATTAATTCTCGATGTGGAAATTCTATGTGCACATGTGAACCCAGTGATTATTAATTGATGAATAAGGGGACACGATGTCTTAATTTTTAGCTGTGAATGATTATTGCAGGGGTGGGATAAATTGTCTTCGTGTCCCCTCATCTATGAATATGTGTTCGTAAAGGTGCAATGATATTCCAAGTGAAACAATTATTGAAAGCCAAATAAAAAAAAAAATTGTGGAATTGATCGTGAAAAATTGACGTACCATGTGTATAGTCCCGCGAGTTGGGTCTGCGGTGAAATGAGGTGACACTGGGGCATTACCAGAGGCCCAACCTGGTGCCGCTGGTAAAGGAGGAGGTGACCCCACTGGTGTCGATGGATTGCTGCTGTAACTCGACACTGATTGGTCCGTTGGATAAATCTGCAAAAATTAAAATTGAATAAAATCAAAGAAAAAATTCCAATATCCATAATAATTCCGAGAACGCGTGGACCAATCGAAAAAACCGACAAGACCATATCTGCGGCAAATTAAGTTTCCCACAAAAAATGTCTTGTCATATTTTTCGTAATCTCCACTGGGTCTCGAGATATTCGCTTCTCCCGTAAGAATTTATTTAATTATTCGTTGGAGATAATTAACGAATTATTAGGTAAAAGAGTGACGTATTTAACGTACTCGTGTGCTTACTACTGATGCAAGTGCCTTGCCAAGTGTCTCCTGGGCGGGTGTTTGATTGCTAGGTGCATTTTGGCCTGTCGATGGTGCATTTGGTGCACCCGGACTGTGATTGTATTGCAGTGATGCTGGTGATGGTGCACCAGTGCCACTAGTTGCCCTAAACGTTGACATTGGTGGTAATGATGCTGCACTCGTCACCGCTGAGCCAAGAATTGGCGCCGCTGGCTCGCCATTGGGTGACATTGCCGAATATGCCTTCAAAAAAATCAATCATCAAGAAAACCCCCAACGATCCTCCAAAAAATTTCTTCAGGAGAATAAAATTCTCGACAAAAAATATTCCACGGTTATTTCCCCTAAATTTTATCCCAAGATATCGCCCCGATAATGATGGAGTATATTTTTTTTTTTTCAATTTTCCCAGCTTTCTCGCTGCATCAAGATAAATAAATGCAGTGGCCTAGGTCAGAAGGGAATGCCTCCCTGGAGTGAATAGACCGAGACTTCCGGTTGAAAAGTGGGAAAAATCCAACATCTGTCCCTTCTCCCTTTTTCTTTCTCACGAGAGTGGCCTCTAGGGTGATTTTGAGAACCCCTGGGCCATGTATAACGTCAAATGACTCACTGAATCCTATATATAGAATTCCAACACCCACCCCACTGTTAAACGCAGGGCGTTTTCTAGTCAAGTGCACGGTTTGATGCATGTTTAGTTTTACCTTTTACGAGAAATTATGAACTTTCAATTTTAGAGAAAAATATTCACCACTGTTACCAATTTTCCCCTGAAAACTCATAATTTACAAATAAATCCGTAAAAAATTCCGTCAATCGAAATCCCCAGTCGATATTCCGAAGAATTTTTTATCCGAAAAAAATCAATTTTGTAAATCATCCGTATGATTTTTTGCATGAATTCCATTCCCATGACCTTGAGCACTTTCTCCGAACGTTTTTCGCCCCCGGAATCGTGGGATCCGACAAAGTCAGATAAAAAAAAAAAACCAACGATAAAACCATGCAATTACTTAGAAAATAGCCTGATCCAGAGAATTTGTTTGAATCCCATATCCCAAGAAACAATTTTATAGTGTAAAAATAAAACTCACCATTGGATCGTGTGGTATGTGCATGGGATAGGCTGGTTGTGCCAAATGTGGTGGTGCATATCCACTGTAAGGTGGTTGGACACCTCCACTTCCTGTCCAGGGATCCCCAGGAGCACCTCCCGTACTTCCATCTGCAAATCATCCCGATAAAACTCATTACAAATGACTCGAGACTGCATTAAACAAAAACCCATCCCTGAAAGGCGAGGGGTGAGTAAAAAATAATAAAAAAAAAAGAAGAGAGAGAAATTGCGAGGAAAGTCGAGTAAAAATGGCCCATTATTTCAGTTGGAAAACAACAGCAATAAGCTTCCCCAAGGAGAACGTATTTCTTGATACTTTGCTTGATGTAATTTTGCCCAACCACCGCAAAACTAAGCCAAACTATTCCCCTCCCTATCCACATCATAGAATGTTTCTGGGAAACGATACTGCCATTCGATGGCTGATAAAACTTTTTCTCGCTCTGAGTTTTGCCCTTACGATCTACCAAAACTATCACGTTTGAGATGCTCTCATTTCTCTTTTTTTGGCCTTTTTTTTTTAGTGGACTCACCGAGGTAGTAGGGATCTGCGTACAGCGCAGCTGCTTTTGGAGATGTGTACCTAGGGGAGTCCTGACCAAATTCGTCTGATCCATACTGAAACATTAATTACAGGAAAAACAATTAGTTCATGAAATTTTAATAGTGAAATTATCGTCTTATTCTCCCTTATATTTAAGAAATTAATCCATTGGTTAATGAGGAATTGCACCAGAATTTTATGGCACTTTGTCGTTGTTAATTTCGAGTGTAATTTTTCAACCATTGATTTGAGAAAAAAATGTTGTGGGACTTTTTTGTGGGAAAATAAATTTCCAACGAAAACGGTCTTTTCGCATTTTTTTGTGCAATCAGTAGTTTATGGTTGAAGTTTGGAGAAATTTAGTGTTGGGGTTAATTATTCAGGATTGCGGTACCATTTTGTAATTTCCATAGTCGATGGGGCTAACAAACATCTCGGAGTGTCAAAAATCCTGAATTTGCAAAAAATAAAGGATTCTTTCGGTACTTTTATTATTTCCCCTTTGCGGTAAATTATTCTGCAGCTTCTCCTCGTTTCGTATTCCTTTCGCTAAAGTTTTCCGGTTGTTTTCACCCACCCCAAAGTCCCCTATCCCTTGGATTCTCAAGACTTTTGGGTCTCACATTGGCTCCCTGAGGGGTAGGGAAAACTCCTGAATGGGTGGTGAAGAGATATCTAACGTGAAGACGATGACAGCAGGAATTTAACAGCTTCTCGAGGAGCCATGAAACAATCGTCAAAACTTCACTTGACGTTTAAAATTCGGAATTTCAGCCGATGGAATTTCAATTGACGTCGACCCTCACGAAAAAAATGTTAAACTCCCGAATCAAAAGGTAAAAGAAAAAGAAGAACAACTTAATTGCAAAAACACTGATTGTCAAATAAATTTCCGAAGTTAATGTGGAGATGAAAATTTATTTGGCGGCACTGGATGAAATTATTTGGAATTGAAAATGATAGTAAATAATTGGTATTTAAAAACCACAAGATGTTCAGACACCGGTAGGCAGCCCCGAACTGGCATTTGAATTCCTCGAGGCAATCCCCTAGCCCCTAGAACTCCAGAAGGTGGGGGAAATTGAGGGATTCGACCAATGGAATGACCCTCGATACTTGAGATTCAGAACGAAGCGGTAAAACAAAGAGAGTGGAGAATTTATTGTAAAAATAAATTTTCAAAGGGCTTTCGATAAACTCCCGTTTGATGTTGATAAATTCACGCGGTCTAATGGCGCGATATCTTGAAAGACTAATTGATGAAAACGAATTATCCGATTTTTATTGAAATTGTATCTGCAATTTATTCATTTTATTTTTCATTTGAATTTTTCATTTAAATTTTTCATTTGAAATTTTTCATTTCGTTTGCGAATGCAAACGTGAGAAAAAATGAATAAAACTTTTGCAATTGAATTAAAATTTTCATTTTGAGCAGTTGAAAAAAAAAATTTGACCCTGATGTATTGTGGCCCCGATGAATAAGTATCTCCGAAGTGTGTTATCAGTATCAAGAACAAAGGACTGAAAGTGTCTCTCAACGTTAAAATTGTCATCATTATTTAGTCTCTTTGAGACACGTACGTTCCATGTATTTTTGGCATCGTGTGTCGCAGCGTGAGCGATATTTCACCGTATCGAGAGATGAGGATTGGAGAATAATAAAAAAAATGTACAGCGGTTGGATCAGAAATCTTAATATCAATGTCCACTGACATCAGCAATTTTTATCCTTCAATATTCTCAGAGAGGAATATATCGTACTAGGGTGTACTCTTGTCCATAGAATCCCGAAAAAAAAACTTTTAATTTTTTTCGCCCGAAAAAAAAAATAATTTTTTTCGCCCGAAAAATCGAAGAAATATTCTTCGATAATTTTTTTCAATTTTCTGTAAACCATTATTGTTAATTATTTCCCTAGAATGCCGGTACTTGAAAATGAGTCACACGTGCGCGGAAATGTCGCCGGAGGGCCTGAGGCCCAACAACTCCATTAATTAAACGAAATGAATTACCATCCAGGTGTAAGGAGTCGGTAAAAAATGATAATGTCAATTTGTCCGTGGGAAAGAAATAGTCAAGTCGATATTCACCGAATCTTCCGGCTCGGTCTAGGACTTTATTGTGAATAAAGTGACATGCAGGTGTTGGGACTATGCGGGTACCTTATTTTTTAATAAAAAAATATTCATTGAAATTATTTTACAATTAAAGGGGGGTACAAGTGCGCATGAGAAACAAAACCTTTGTCCCTTAGATACAGAGAGGAGAGCTAGAAACTCCGGTTATATTTAGCTCACTACGTCACAACCCCTTCTCCGATATGCGTCGTGCCTCAAAGATATTTCACTCTTTGTCGAATCTAATTATTTTCCATTAAATTCATTTAATATCCTTTAAAAAAATCCAAAAACGCTTTATTTCTCAAATAATTTCAATGAAATTCCTCTAAATTTATCGAAAATCATTTGAAGTCATCTGAAATTATTATGCTGTGGTGATAATAATTTTTCCATTTATTTGTTATGAATTTTAATTGAACGGATACTAAATACTAAATATTCGTGTTATCACCGGTAATTGCGTTGTATAAGAATTATTGTGAGGTAATTCGAGGAATTTCTGTCCTTCACTCGAGAATTTTAAAAGCCAGAGGAAATGGAAGATGCGTGTTTAGGTTTTGAAGGGACTTCCGGCTGATTTTTTAGAGTCTGTGGGAAGCAATTTAATGGACTCTCAATGGTGACAGTAATTACCCCTCACCTGGAGTCATAATAATCATTTAAAAAAACGTTACTACCAACTATTTCGACTGAAAAAAAAAATGCAGTTGTTCTATTACTCTCTGCACTTGACTATTCAATTCCACAATATTTTGAGTCTCATATACGTGTCATTCAATATGTCACCGGATCCCGAGTTATTGTTGACAATTCTCTCATTTATCCATCGATATCGAATGGGAAATTGAAATAAATTCGAGGAAAAAGTTGGATGTAAATGGTGGAGGAATAGGGAAAAACGGAGAGAAAAAAAAAATGGGAGAAAATGGAGAAAAATGATTGGAAAATGATGAAATTGGGGGTCAGTGGCAGCGGAAGGAAGCCGGAAGTTACGGATACGAAGGGAAAGAGAAATTGTGGAAGAAGGGTGGAAAAATAATTCTGCTAGTGCATAGAGGTGCATCCAGGTGTTCATATGGAATTCTGCGTGTGTGGTTTTGTCAATGTCCCTCCTCTCTCCTCATAAAAGTCATCGCCTACATTATTTATCAGATCGTATCGTTCAGATACGTTCTCCACCTTCGAACGTCGACTATATATTCACGATGCCAATGTAACCGACAATTAGCGTTCGATAATGTACGTGATCGTTGTGAGTAATGACGTGAATTTTTCGTTTTATATTCGCCGCGAGTTCTCAAAACACATTAAGTCGAGTTAATTGAATCGATTTTTTTTTCCCGGTTACCAGGTAGGGCTATTTCATTTATCATCTCAAAATCATCTTCATTAAGATAGTCAGCCATTTTTGCATTGACAATTTCGCGGTGTTTTTTTTTTTTCAAAAATGAGTAATTTTTGTTGTTAAAGTAAAATCCGGGAAACATTATAGTAAAGCCACTGGAGTTCTCGGCAATTTTTTTTTACCCTTCAATTCCCTGTTTCAACGCACGATTTACTCTGACTCGACAGTTGTTATATTAATTGGCCCTCGAGATCGTTAACACAGCTCTCGCTCCACATTTCTCGAATCTCAGACTCAACGAAAATAAATAAATCATCCGGAAAAAAAAATGAAAGAGTAGTTTAAAAAAAAGACGTGCCACAGCAAAAAAAAAATCCGTTTTAATCTCCACTTTTACCAAATTCCGAAGAATCTGCACAATGTTCCCCGGTAATTACAACAGTTTTTATCTTAAAGATAAATTGTCGTTGAATTTCGTAAGGGTCCTCGTCAGAAGTGAGAAAAAAAAAAAGAGTTGTCGTGAATGGGAACAAAAAGATTAAAAAAGAGAAATAAAAGTGAAGTAAAATTGAAAAAATGTGAGAGTCGGGGCGCGAGTCCTTCACTCGTATAATTGCGCCAATTAGGTCGGCAATAATTAGGAAAATGAGATACAAATACCAGAAAAGTCAACCAACCCCGAGTGTGAAGTCGATAGTTCTCGAGATAGATCGATAATTCGGAAAACCAGTAAATACAACTCATCTGACAATAATTTCGCCACTCAATTCCCGTCATCTTTTCCCTGAGATAAAAAAAAAATTGTCAAGTAAAAATAGTGAATTTACCCCACTCTCCTGACCATTGCTGCATTGCTTCCATGAAATCGGACTTCTCGATTGTGCAAAATCCCTAGAATGTCCACAGGAATTCCTCCTCTCATTTTTAAACTCACAAACCACAGGATTTCTTCCCCTCACATTAAAATTTCTGAAGTCAATTCCGAGATTATCCTGAAATTCACCGATTTCCACAATTCTACGTGTCATTTTATAATCTCGAACGTAATTAAACAGGTTCATAAAATATCCCAAAAACCATTTAATTCGTAAAAAATATTTTTCCAAAAAGAACCAGAAAAATTGAATAAAAATCACGCGATAGAACTGTTTCAATGATTTTAATGACCCATCAACGCGACATTTGATGACTGAATAAATCAGCGAATGTGTGAATTAACGAAATATAGATGAAGTGGACTTGCAGCTGGTTTGCTGGTGGTAAGACGACTGGTTTTGTTACACGACAAGTTGTGTTCACATACTGAGAAAATGAGAAAAGTGGTAGTCCGGTATTTTCTATCCCCACCAAATCACCACATGATTATAAAAGTCCAGATATTTGCGGTGAAATGAAACAAAGACACTGAAAATATCCATTATCTCTCCACAAATGGCCGAGATTTTTCCCTCTATAATTTATTTAGAAGTCGGTAATTATCAAAGAGATGAAAAAAAAAAAGCATCTCTCACTTCCGCTTCTTTAATCCCTCCCTCGAGTTTCTGGAGTTTACTTTTCGATTCAACCGGTAGTTCAAACATACAACTGAAAAGAGGGGAATTTTAAA